ACAGCACTGTGCCGGAAACCGGGTCCAGCGTCCCTTTCTCTAGTAACATCTCGCTTCCTATGCCATTGTTCGCTTTACCCAGCCACCGCCCACCACCCGCCCAACCGGATTCAGAACCACGCGGGTGAGGAGCGGGGCCCAGCACGCCTACGTAAGTCTTCCGTCCTAACAGTGGTGAGAGAACCGCCAGGATGGAGAGAGAAACTGCTTGGCTACTCTTTCCGCAGGCAGGGAGCGGTTCCTGTTGGGGACTGGTACCAGCATCTTTTTTAAGCATCTTCGCAGCACATACATTGCTGTTTTCCCTTGGCCATGGTCAAGTTGACATTTGAAGCGGAAGACTCCTAGATTCCCAAATGGAGCTGCAAGCGACACCCATCCCATTTACGGAGCAAGCTTATTGTTGACCGGCCATAATCTGCAGCTCCCCAATTTATTGTCACGGTGTGATCGAGGGATGTAATCCTAATTCGAAAATCCAAAACCCCATCCAAGTAGACAGAGAACAGCGCCGACAGTGGATGGGGTGCATGCACAGGCTATACACAAGGCGAGGGGAGGCATCTCCTGAAAGGCAAAGGCAAGAGAAGTAACCCCGAAAAAACATAAGAAACATAGAACGAGCAGGACACACTCACAGTGTACAAAATCAGGGGAGACTGGCCCCCTGAAAAAATCCACTGTAGACCTTGAACCCTAAACCCTAAACCCCTCACCCTGAGTGGAAAAGATTCCAGTGGAAAACAGAGAACAGCGCCTACAGTGAATGGGGTGCATGCACTGGCTATACACAAGGCGAGGGGAGACATCGCCCGAAAGACAAAGACAAGAGAAGTAGCCCCGAAAAAACATAAGAAACATAGAACGAGCAGGACGCACTCACAGTATACAAAATCAGGGGAGACAGCCCCCCCTGAAAAAATCCACTGTAGACCCTAAACCCTAAACCCGAAACCCTAAACCCCTCACTCTGAGTGGAGAAGAGTTCAGTGGGAAACAGCCCCACCCTGTGTAAAACGCAAAACCCCCAAACCCTGAGTGGAAGGGATTCCTGTGGAGAACCGCCCTCCCACATGAAGAGAAGGGGAAATTTTATAGAGAAGCGGAGAAATGCGTATCAGTGTTTTTTTGCAGAAAGCCCCTTAGACTCCTTAGACCCTTTAAAACCCCATGAAAACGTAAAACCCCTAACCCTCAATGGAAGGTAGACCCCTGATCGCCGAGCCGCCCGAGTCTTCCATGTGCCATCGAGTTCTTCCGACCCCTGTTCATCCTTGAGGCCGGTCCACCAAATCGCCCGCAGTCGCAGCCACGCCGGCGTCTCAGCGCTAGAAGCCGGTTGCTAGGAGGGAGATGAGAAGAAGGGAGAGGGCGATGGGAAAGGAAGACAGGACGGGCGGTTGGGGGGGGAACGGAGGCGCCCATGCAGGCTCAACCGGGGGGAAAACCAGAGGCGTGTATGGCGTGTCATCCCGGGAGGAGGACAAAGGAGGGGGGGTTTACTGCGAAGGGGATTTTGAAGTGGGAGTAAGGCTTAAGGGGCCATTTGTGTTCGTGAGCCCGCCAGTTTTTCCATTGGAGCTGGGAATCTTGGAGGTCTGCCATGGCTCTCCTCTGGCCGAGCCAAGTTTCAGTAAACCCGGTCGTCAGTTCCAGTTCTTTGTTTCGTTTTTGTGCTGGAGAGAGGACGGGGTCACGATTTATTTTCAAAATCTGGGTCTTGGTCTGATCCCAGGCTGCTCTCACCCTCCCGGCGAGAAACTGGGACATGTGCTCTTTGGCATGAGCGGCGGTGAAGGAGTGCTGCTTTCTCTCAAACGAGCAGCGCATTCTCCAGGCAAGCATCAAGAGTTCGATTCGCGTTATCTGGAACAGATTCTGGTCGTAGGGAGGCCAGTCCGTCTGGGGGTTGGACGAGCTCCCAAGGAGGAGAAGTTTCGGATCCCATGGGAGTTGGGAGCCAGTAAGGACAGTCCAGGCCGCATCCCACCACCTCCAAATTTGGGTCACCATAGGGCAACCCAGCAGACAATGTTCCAGCGTGGCGCGGGAGGGTTGGGCAAACCAATCGCAGTAACTGCAGATGGGTGAGAGGAGACCTTGCTGTTCCAGATGAGTCCTGGAGACGAGCCAATCCGGGGTGGGCAGACAACGGTACAGTATCTGCCATTGGAGGGCTCGGTGGGATGTCGGCATTATGTTCGAATAACGGGCCCATCTAAAGTCCGCCAGATCGTTCGGTTGTAGGATGGAGTCTCTCCCCCACCTTTTCTGCACGGTCTTCTCAGTCGATTGCTTTTTGTGTATGACCCGGTAACCCCGTTTAACCGAGTAATCCCATAGTTTCAGCGGCGGGGCAGTACCGCGGCAGGGCCACTCCCACTCTGCTGGGTCGAAGGGGAGGGCTGCGATAGGGGAAGAGGGTCGGAACACAAAAAGGGACCGGTCCATCCCTTCTATCACCCGCACTCTGACTAAGCCCGCCCAATTGTGGACAGTGTCCCGATCGTGGTTTCTTTGCAAGGCAGAGCATGAGGCACCCGAGGAGGTTATATCGTATGCTTCCAGGCGGGCCGTCGAGGATGTCACGTTTGTCACCTTGCTAACGAGGCGGGAAGGGCCAGTTCGGGGCCAGCGAACAACCCAATCCCCTTTTTCAATGGTGGGCCCTTTTTTCAGGGGCGGAATCCACGCCAGGGGTATCGCTTCCCGGAGCTGTTCCAGCTTTTGCTCTCTGTGCCTGACATAGCGCAGTTCGTCTTTCATTTGATCAGCTGTCTTCCATGTTCCCCGTTGGAGGTCCAAAAATCCCTTTGGCGACCCATTGTTTCCACGGCGAGCGTTTGAAAAGGTGGAAAGGATTCCCTTGGTTGTCGCGGATGTGGGGGTTGCCAAATAGCAGCTGTCTCACTATCTCATGCCAACGCAGGGGAGGGGAAACATGTTGAGGGCCCATATGTCTCCAGAGATTGACCATATTGGACCACAGCGGGTCGTTGATCGCTTCCCTTCTCGTTTGGGCCCGCTCAGGGGGCAGGGTTGTTGGCAGATTTGACCCAGGGATCGACCAAGCTGGGTTGGTCAACCATTGCAGCGGGTGAATTTCCCTTTCCACAGGCGAGGCGGGAGCAAGGCCGGCAATCTGGATGTGGGCGTAAGGAGCCCACAGGACGTCATTCCCCATCAAGAGGCGGGTGAGGATTTTGAACGACAACGCTTTCAGTTGATCTTGCGGTTCCAAGATTGCCAAACCACCCATCGAGTGTGGTTGGGCTATAGAGTCCCACGCCACTCTGGAGAGGAACGTGGGGTCATCGTGATCGTTCTTCCTCACAAAGGCTGCCGCTGCCCTCTTGAGCCTGCGAAGGTGTTTAGGCGGGATTGGCCAACATGCCGCCTTGTACCACATAGCGGAGAAGATTGCGGTGTTAAGGGCCAGCGCCCTTCCCACTATTGAGGTGTGCAGACCTCTCCACCTGGCCATTCTCTTGAGGGCCTTCTCCACCAAGGAAGCCCCATGGTCAGGCGGGGGGCCCAGTGCCGTAAGTCGCACTCCCAGTATCTCTGCTACAACCATCCCCCCCGCTTTCCTTTCCCCCATCCCCCCTTCTCTCTCCCCGTCTCCATGACCAAGCGTCCCCCCACCCCCGTCCTTATAATCTGACGCACAGGCTGATTGCGAGGCCGCTGTTGTTTTCCTCAAACACTTCATACATTTGGGGGGTGGCATCAATAGTAACTGGAATACACAAACTCTCCCCGAAGCACTGCTCCTCTTGCTCTCGCAAACTGACCGAATAGGTTGTCTTGCATACGGCCCTTGTACCAATGACCGACCAGCACAGGCCCGACATGGGCTGTCATAATCGTGGCGGAAAAAACTCGGAAAACCCGAGAGCCTGGGATGACAGCAAGGACAAACAAGCACACGGATCAAACAACACTCAAAAGATTGCTCGTTCTGAAAGACCTCATAATACTGACACATCTGCATCTGATCCCAGCGCAAAGGACATCGGGGCTGATGTGGTCAGGCCACTGTCTAAGGGAAAAACATCCAACCAATCTCCCCCTAAAAAACCGTGGAACGAAGTGGTTAGAGGTAGAGGTTCCATGGAGAACGACAGCCGGATCCCGGCGCAGCCAGGTGGCACCTCCCTGAATGCTGTGTTGTGATCCGATAATCCGGGTGACTACAACATGCAGATGAGGTTGGACACGATGCACCCGCTCAGATTTCATTTCGTGCAAAAAACTTCATCGCAGAGCTACAAGGAAAATGCAAGTTCGGGGGAATGCAATACAGTCTATCATCTCCCCCCAAGCAAACGCGATTCGCAATCAGATCTACGGGGAGAACGCGATCCAATTCGTGTTTCCTAATGAAGCACTCAAATCACAACTAAATGATAGACTCAAATGGGTGTTCGGGGTGCTGCGATCCCAAAAGATGTCGGATGAGGATGCGGCTGACCACTTCCTTATCGAATCCCCGACGGTCGAGAAGGTGAATGTCCTCACCCTCAATCTGATCGACAAAAACAACTTGCTGCGTATTCCAAATGCCCGATTCAGAGGACTCCCTGTTGCCATACAGCGCTGGAAACCCGTGAAAGCGCTCACACCGAACGACAGGAGGAATCATCTTATGGCAAATAACTATTGGGTTGAATTTAGCTTTGCACCTGTCCACATACAAGGAGAGATCCTCAAGTTGATCGAACAGATCGCCCCGATCCGTGGATTCATAAATGACCTACCTCACTTCCTGGCGAAGAGAGATGACTTCTTGCTCATCGCCGTAGACTGGCCTTCGGCGGAGCCGTTTCCACTCAGGGGAGAATGGCACTGCCACTCCGAAGGGAGAAAATTCGTCATCCCCCTCAGCCATCCACAGGACCCCTGGTGCCACGTCTGCAAAGCAAGAGGCCACCTGTACACGGACGATGTCTGTCCGACTAACTATAGGAAGCTCCCAAAGAACCTCGTATCACAACACCCTGCGGAGCCGGACAAATGGCTGCCTGAAGACCCCAACTTGAAGGGATGGGTTTTCCGAACTATGGATGGGGGATCCACCGGCCACTGGCAGTGGGAGGGGGGACAGACTCCACAGAATACCCCCGAAGGGGTTGCGCTCCCGACACAGCAATTTCATAACCCCGGGGGGGCCCGGGGGCCTCCTCCACGGCCTCGTGAGGTCGGACTGAAGCATCCCCCGGCGAAGGTTTACCAAAAAAAAGACCGCGCAGAACCCTCGAGACGACCACATAACAGCCCACAGCCGGCGACCGCTGCCCCCAAACCGACCACTGCGACGGCAAATGACCGCCGGCCTCCAGACACACAGGATGGGACCGGTGGTGACAGGGCGAGACGTGGAGGGACACCGCAAACACACGGCAGGCTGCAATTCAGACAGAAGCAAGGGAAACAAAAAATGCCAGCCCTGCCACAAACAGAAGAGGGTGGACCAACGGACGCCCCACAACCTGCAACCACTTCACAAATTGAGGTGGGGGAGATAGTCGAATCTGATGATGAGACTCCTCTGCTGCGCAGAAAATCGGGGTACAGCAGGGACACAAAACCTCGATCCCCAACGCCCCACAATCATGATGGTACTGACTGCAACAATAGTGGGAAGGGAGTGGCCACAAGTGAAAACCATGACGGCACTGACTGCAACAACGGTGGGAAGGAAGACATCACAGGTGACTGCCTCATCCACCCTGTCACAAATGACGTCGACCCATTGCTGCAACAATCGAAAGTTGTTACCTTTCAGGACAAGCACGAAACTGATGGCCCCCCCGCCGGGCCCAGCCCCCTCCTTCTGGTTGACTTCGGTCAGAAGGCTGTCCCGGGATCACGGCAGTTCCCGCCGTCAACCCGCCCTCTGCCGCTCCTCCCCAACCCACACGACATTGCTGCAGTTCATGATCTGGGGCATAAGTCAGAAGACGTAAACACCACAGACAACGGTTTCCAAAACAAAATGGAAGGGGGGAGCTTCCCCGCTGAACCAGGGGACCGAAGCTTGGTTGTGCGGGACCATCACCTTCCGCCACCGGATCCGGGACCGCCACCCCCTCTGATGCCTGACGGCTTTGGGGCGCCCCCCCCTGACACACTCACACCGGCCAATGCCGCTCGGGATGCTCTCAAAGACAAAAACGAAGGGAAGCGCCTGCCCACCAGACCCAGAGCCCTCGCCGAGTCTGAGCACGGCCCACAGCAACTGCGACTGTGCTTGCCACCTCCTGCTAACGCCCCCAACATCGTGAGCGTGGGGAAGATGTCGGACGACAGTCCACAGCAACAGCAATTGAGGTTGCCACCCCCTGCGGATGCTCCCCACAGCGACAGCGCAGGGGAACAGCTTCCATAAATTCCTCATGCATGTGTCCACGAACCATCATACATCGTTCTTCCACAGAGGAGAGAGAGAGAGAGAGAGAGAGAGAGAGAGAGAGAGAGAGAGAGAGAGCTGGATGGACACGACATCAAAGGTCAAGTCGAACATCACACAGAAGTCGGTAAACCAAAAATCCCGAGCACAAACGGGGATTAAAAGAAATTAGAAACCCCAATGGGGGAATCGACGTCGAGATCATCCCCGGATACTGCCGAAAGAATAGCGCCGAAGCAGCATCAAATGGCGTGTGACACCGGCCCTCCAGGAGTCTTTGCTGGCTTAAAGACCCTAGTGGTTCTCTTGACCTTTATACTACCGAGATCCTAGAAGATAAATGCTGGGGAGTACCTTTCTGGTCTAGTCCCTGAACAAATTTTACACTGTATCTACCCAGCACTTCTTTTTTTTTTTTTTTTTTTTTTTTTTTRAACWTCGACGGCTGGRGGKAGAGGGGGKGGTGATAAGAGCAGAGACTCCCTCTACCTACCCACCCTTGGATGGCTCCGTTCCATTGGTGGGGAGCTGCACCTGCTGGAAACCGGGTCCAGCGTCCCTTAACATCATATACCGGAGTCAAATCCACATGAGACACATGCGTTGAGTAGCAAACACAAAGTTATAACATATGTTAGCGGGTCATGGTATTCCTATTTAGCCATCAGTTGTCACGACCCCCGTAGCTGCCAAACAAAACTATACAAAACAAAAGACTATCAAGGCAGGGTCTTTGGCCTGCTACCATTGCAGCTTTCGTCCTGAAGCAGTCTATCGTCCCGACCCCTCCGTTGGCCTTGTGAGGGCTTGCCCTTCTCTGCTTTCTCCGTTACTTCATCTGTCGTGGTCGGAGGAAGCAGCCTCCTTTCCTTCGGTGTGAGCAAACATCCACCTGTGGGGGCACACCGCTTCACGGGTTCATTCTGCAGCATATCACTGAGCTGTCGCCGCACGTGAGCTCTGAGTTCGCACCTTGGCCGGACCCTTGACTTGTCGCCATTTGGAAGGAGCGAGGGGAGGTGAGTGGGGTGGATGGAGGTTGGGAGGGACCGGGAGGGAGGGAGTGTCGATCGGGGGAGGGATGGGGGGTGTCTATGGATCGGGCGGGCGGTGTGTAACAAGGGTAAAGTTGGTTTGCAGATAGGGAACTCGAAAACAGTGGTGTGGCCTACGTTGCCATGTCTGCTCAGTCGCCCTCCACGGCTTCCAATGGATGTTGAGGCCGGCGTCCAGTTCAAAGAATTTATGGAGCGGATCCTGCCATAGTTGGAGGAAAGTTTCATAGATAGTTTGTTTGATTGTGTGATCATTCTCCTCCCTATATTGAGTTATGAAGGACTTCCATGCGTACCTGAGACCTGATGGAATGCACAGACCCGTAAGAAAGTGGAAGGCCGCATCCCACCACTGCCACAATTGGATTACCATTGGGCAGGCCAGCAGGCAGTGTTCCAACGTTGCCCTGGCCGGGGGGGTAGACCTACCGCAGTAGGCACAAATGGGAGACAACAGCCCCTTCTGTTCCATGTCCGTGTGTGAGACTAGCCAGTCCGGGGTGGGTAGGCACCGGTGTAGTATCTGCCATTTTAGGGCCCTGAGGTTCGTAGGCATGATTTCGGAGTACTTGCCCCATGGAAGCTCTGCCATTGTCCGAGAGTCGAGGGGGGAGTCCCGCTCCCATCTACGGGTCAGTGTCTGATCAATCGAGATGCTAGGACGCAAGGCTTTGTAGGCCCCTTTAATAGTGTAGTTCCAGATATGCATGGATTTTGTTCCGGGCCAGTGTCATTCCCCCGGGTCAAAAGGCAACCTGGCCACCGGGGTTGTGGGCTCGTACACGAAAAAACCTTCGTGGTCGTCCCCGACCACTCTGACGTGCACCAATCCCACCCAGGTTACCTGAGTGTCCAAGTTTTCATTCCGGGTGAGTTTTGCAAATCCGGCCCCTGACACCTGGGAGTCATAGGCCTCAAGTTCACTTCGCCCTTCGTTATTGTGACTAACTTTATATATGGTGAGCGGGAGGGGGAGGTCCATATATTTGATTACCCAGTCCCCTTTTTGCGTCCCTTCGTTATTGTGACTAACTTCTCCCTTGCATTGTTTCTGGCGGCAGTCCGGCTATCAGGGTCTGCCGCCAGGCTAGGGGGAGGACATCCCTGAGCTCCCGCACCTTCTGTCCCACATTTTTCACATATTTAAGTTTGCGTTGCAATGCCTCCACCGTGGCCCAGTCGTTCGTGAGCGAGTCCCAGAGATCTCCAACCGTGTACACTCCCCTTTTGGCCTAGGTGAGCCAAGGTGAGTTCGTTGTAAGACAAAATGGGTTGCCTTTATCGTCCAAGATGTAGGGGTTGCCAAACAAAGGTTGCCTCCATATGTCCTGCCATCTATTGGGGGGTCGGTTCTGGTGTGGTCAGCACCTCCTCCACAGCCTCAACAAATATGGCCACATCGGATCGAGGAGGAGATCCATTCTAGCCGCTTGCTGATGGACACTGCCTCAACTGTGCTGCTAGGGGGAGGGTATTGACCAATGTTTATTGGTTAACCATCTAAAAGGATGCAAATGGTTGTCCGATGTTGACTCTGGTGCTAAGGCGGTTATCTGCAAGCAAGCCAATTGGCTCCACGGGATGTCATTTCCTACCAACAGCCTCACCAGGACTTTAAAAATCAACGCATCGCTCTCCATTTCCGGATCCAATATCCCAAGCCCCCCTCTACTTCTTGGTTGCGTAAGGACATCCCAGCTCACTCTCTGCAAACATCTCTGTTCAACGACACTATTCTTCCACAGGTATGTTGAGAGTGTTTTCCTCAGTCTTGCATACTGTTTAGGTTTCAAAGGCCAAACTGCCAATTTATACCATATGGCCGCTAAGATAGCATTATTAATAGCTAAGGCCCTTCCAACCAAGGAAGTTTGCAGTCCTGCCCACTTGGCCAGTCTGTCAATTGCCATATTAACCAGTATGTCCCCATGGTCAGGCGGGGGCCCAAGTGCTGTCAGTCTCACCCCGAGAATCCTGATAGCGTCTTCGTTGCGTGCCCAGGCAACTGGCGGCTGTTGCGGCGGGGGCTCGCCCAGGGGGTGAAGCCACCAACCCTCCGTTTTAGATCCCCAGTTGACCTTCATATCTGCCACCAGTGAGAAGAGGTGAATAACCTGAGAGAGGGCACTGACGCTCTCAGAGTCCGCTCGAATGAGAACCGTGAGATCGTCTGCAAATAGCGATGTGATCGGGATGAGGTGGTGAGGGATATCCGGAATGGGCACCTTTCTGATGTCTGTGTGGGCTCTGATCATCGATGCCAGGGCCTCCATGACAGTAACAAAAATCAGGGGCACTATAGGGTCCCCTTGACGCACCGATCTCTGGAGACGAATCGGGGGCGAGAGGTGGTCGTTAAGCATAACATTGGTTGTGGCCGACCTATGCAAAAGGTCTACCCAGTGACGGAACACAGGGCCAAAATTCATCTTTTCCAGACACATACCCAGGAAGTCCCAGTCAACATGATCATATGATTTTTCAAAGTCAATGAACATGATGGCCGTCGGGATCTTACGTTGACGGGTGTACCTAATGGTTTCGTTGACCAATAATATGTTGTCTTGAATGTTGCGGTTAGGCATGAATCCTGTCTGGTCCGGATGGATGAGGACATTCATTTGTGGCAGCGGTCGTTTCGTTAGTGCTTTGGCCACCAGTTTGTAGGGCACAGGGAGAAGTGTGATGGGTCTGTAGTTCCTAATATCTTCCCTGTCGCCTTTCTTATAAAGAAGCGTGGTGACCCCTTGGCCAATCATACCCCCAAACGAGCCTTCGTTTTGAACTGCCAAGATGTATTCCATGAGATCATATTGGAGTAAGACCCAGAAATACTGCCAAAACTCCTTGGGGAATGAGTCAATCCCCGAGGTCTTCTCGTCTTCCATATCTTGTAACGCGTCCCAAATCTCACGATGAGTAAGAGGTTTGTCCAATTCCATCCTTTGAGTGGCGGTCAGACGTGAGTGCACTGTTTTCGATAGTCGGTTAACCGAGCCCTCATTTTTCACCTCAATTTATAAGAAAACCATAAGGCCATTTCAAGCAAACACCACACCAATGTATAGAGTGCACTTCATTCTAACATATTATGAAAAAAAAACAAAAAATAAAAAATAAAAAACAAATAAAACAGCACCTCAAAAGTGCATTTTCAAGCAATTTTGCCAAAAAAAAATCATCGAAATTTCAGGATTTTCAGGATGATCAACAGCACAAATTCTACTAACCCTAATGACACCAAATTTGACACACAGCAAGCTTGTCCAAAAACAAAAACAGGCAAAAAAAAAATCCAAAAAAACATAAAATTTGACCTCGAAACCCTAATTTCAGGATCTCTTGCGTCTCGCACTTCGTCAGGGTGTTTGCTGGGTGTTCGGGATGTGAACAAGTTATGATAGTACTGAAAGGCGTAATCTGCGATAGTACAGGCGTTGGTTGCTACTGGGGCTATGTCATCTAGAGGGTGTCTGAGTCTGGGGACAGTGTTGGCTCTTGCTCTCGCCCGCGCCTTGCTGAAAAAGGCTTTAGACATTGTCCCTTCGGTGTGAGCACGTTTGATTCTTGCCTGTATCCTCCATGCCTGTGACTGTTGTTCAATGTAAGCTTGGAGGTGATCACGGGCCTGTTGTAGCTCATCGAAGGTCGGGCGGTGCAGCGGATCTTCCATGAGTTGTTCATCCCATTCTTCGAGATCCCTCATCAACTTGTCAGGAAAGGCTTTACGATCACGCGTATTGGATGGAATTTTTTTTTATTCTCTCCCTCAGCTGCGCAATACCTTTATTAAACCAGTCCACCCTGTCTCCCGATTCCGGTTTTTGAGGTTGTCAATATGACCAGAAGGTATTTACCAGTTCCTTGAATCTTGTCAGGGGAAGCAGGGATGTGTTGAACTTGAAAAACCCAGGCCCCTTTTGGATATGGTTGTGGAAGGAGAGTCCGAGTGTGATCATTCTATGATCAAAGGACTTGCATGGGCTAATAGTTGTTATTTTTGTTGTTGTGACCAGGCCAATAAGATCCTTTGATACGAGAGTAAGATCAATGTGTGAGCTGGCAAGACCCCTATCTCCTCTAGATGAGAGGCATGTGTATGCTTTTTGGGAGGGGTGTAGCAGTCTATATGCGTCCTCTAGTTCCCGGTCTGCCATCAACTGTTTTAGCATAAGGACGTCAGGTCCAAAATTCAGGCATCGAGGGGGTCTGGCTGTATAGACTCTGCGCTGCGGTTTTCCGGTCGACTGCGGGGTCGAGAGCGGTGTTGAAGTCCCCTGCCAGGATTACAGGGGCATCGTCGGGCAGGTGCTGGAGCAGGGTAAGCCACAAGTTCAC